TGCTAAGCATATTCAGTCCCAATATGCTTTCATCATGCTTTTAAGAGGAGGGTAAGTTATTTTGCTAAACCCATTTCTCTCCTCTTTAAGAATAATATTTTGTTTTATATTTCTGACTTAAGGCTATTATAACTAGCTAGCTCATGCTAGCTAGTAAGCGCATACTGTGTGCAAGTGGAGCTGCACATTTATGTCTTAAGTGCCACTGCTTCTTTCTAAATCATTAAAATTTTGAGTATTGTTTTCTGTTACCTATTTTCATCCATTTTAAAATTATTTTCAATCCATCTTCAGGAAATGTAAATATTTTAAAAATTTTCCCTATGCTTTAAGAAAAATTGTTTTCACGAGTACAAACAACCTGAAGTTATGAATTGTACATAACTTGCAAGCAAAGTCTGCTGGCATAGTTTGAAAGAACTGTTTAATGAAACTTCTCCAGCTATACATAGTAATGCTAGAGAGATTTGTTTTTTAAATTTCGACGTATATTGCTGGCTTTCCACATGTATTTTAGAAGCAAACAAACGTCGAGTCCCATCACTTTTCCTTGAAGTTGAAACTTAATCTCAAGCAGGTTTTTAGTACAAAGATTGAAGCATGGCAAGAAGAATGATTTAGAGCAAAATCTTGCAATCCCTCCCTCCTCTTACCTCTCAATTCACACTGCACTGCTATTTGCATACTATAGGAATGAGTAACTTTTTTCAGAATAAAAGGAAAGCTTACTTCATTACGACAAGGAACCGTGTCTTAGAAAAATTAGGATTGATTATACAGGTTTTGGCTATTATGATGGTATTTATTTTTGGTTTATTTTTTTAGAGAATGGAGCGCAAGAAAATGGCATTTCCATATTCCGGAGCAAATTTAGATTATGTTAGGGTGAGAGGAGAGAGGAATAGTCTCCTGAATTACCTGTGAGAAGTTTATGACATGGCCACTTGACTGCATTGTTTTGCCTATGCACCTTTTGTCCACGTAGAAGTGTGTGATTCGCTTGAAAAGGGTCATCCCATTCTGTATACAGAAGAATGTCTGATAACCTTAAAGGGCATAAATCTTAACTTATAAAAAGGAGTGCTTCTTTGGGTCACTTTGATCAGTGACAGGTCGAGAATGAGCAGAAACCCTTGGGTTCTAGTCCGTGCTCATCTGGTTAAATCCAGGACACCCACTGCCCATTCTAGTTCTGGCAAGGAGTTGTTAACAGAAAAAAAGTTCTGCATTTGATTGATTTAAAAAAAGTAGGCTTTTGTGATTGTCTGCTTTCATAAATGTTTTGTGCATTTGTCAGAATAAGAAATGTCATATTTCTTCATCCAGTTACCTTAAGGGCTATAATGTTCTAAAATACTTTTTAAGTCATTCAGAAGTGAGACTATAAGAGAAATGGCTGTAACCCACAGTGACACAAAATGCCAGAGCCATGTACCTTTTTGTTAAGAAAGAAGTAGGTTTAATCTGTTTCAGATAAGAAGGTAATAGCCTTTCCAGAAGCTTTTTCAATGTGAGAGTGAAAAAGCAGTATATCAGAATTATAAATGGATCTGTGCGTCATTATATAGTAATTGAGGATTCACTCAATGATGTAACAAAATTAACAACATAATTTCATTGTGTAACTGTATCTTATTAAAGAACAACTGTCTGACATTCTCTTACAGTTGCTTTATTTAACTTCATGCAAATATTATTAGTAGTGACATTTCTCTATTGTACATTAGATTCTCTCATTAGCATGATGTGTTAGTTATCACCAGAGAAATCACTTCTAGATAGGTGAGTGGGAAGGCAAGAAAACTAAAAATTAAATCAATGATGTATATTAATATAGACGCGTCTGTTCATGAGAGATATGGTACAGTAAATTCAACTTTTTTTCCTAGCATAAGTGTATGCATATTCTGAGGAAAACTAAGTAATAGTTACAATATGTGGAGTATACATTAATATTGCTAGAAGTATTCAACTGTACACAATGTGCACTGCCTGTTTTGAGCTGTACTTGTATTCTTCAATCTGATAGTTCCTAACACTGATGTAGACATAGGCACATAAACTGTTTATTGAACCAGTATTTAAAAATAGAAGCATAGTGTAACGTCTAATGGATTGAAGGTGAAAGCTCTTTAAATGTTCCTATGTTGCTGGTCATAGAGGTTGTATGCAATTTTAACATTTATTAAGTAAGTAACTGTTTTACTGTAGCATATAACTATTCTTTTAATATAGGCGTACATGCAAGAAGAGTTCAAACTTAATTTGACAACAGGCTGTAATTCCATACATTGATTTATTATGAACATTTTGGGAGGAAGATTAACATTGTTAACTTCCATATACTACAAAATGCATTTTACCAATCGTCCTTGTCAGTAAGCGTCAGCAAACATAACAATTTAATATATATTTTTTTTATACCATTTTAAAGATTAGCTGACCCCACGTGGGTCGGGTTTTTTTGCTGTTCATTAATAAGTTCATGTGCTAGTAGGAATTCAGAAGCTTTATCAGGTTACATTGTCTCATTTCAGACACTTAATTTTGTTCGGCGTTTTGGTAAAGCATGGTTTAGACCCATAATGGTTCATGTCCTTTTAGCAAATAAAAAATATCTGCATTAAGAAATTTTTTCTGCTTCTGATGTGCCTCTGAATAGATGCATTAGAAAAATATTGTACATGACAAAAGCACAGGA